TTTCTGTCAATTTTGATTAAACATTGAGCAGAATTATTGTGAACCAAATTTCTCTCAGAACTATTAAACATTGAGGAAATGTCTCTCATCACCAAATTTCTGTCACAGAATTATTGTGAACGTGCCTTCTCTCATAACTATTAAACATTGAGGAAATGTGTCTCTCATCACCAAATTTCTGTCAATTTTTAATTAGAATTATTGTCAATTTTTTTAATAAAAAAAAACATTAAGCAGAAATTATTTTTTCATCAAAGAATTACTGTCAATTATTTGAACTATTAAGTACAAATTTGGTCCTCACACATAAGGATGCTCTCAAAATTATTTGGCTATTATACACATGAAAAACGTAATAGATTCAAAATTTTCACTAAATCAAGGATGAACAAAAAATTTTCCCAAATCTCCAATAATAATACTTTTAATCTTTTTTGATAAAATTTTAAAATAGAGTATGGATAGGAGATGGTTTTCTTTCATAAAAAATGGTATGGATAGGAGATGGTTTTTAGGATAAGTTTGGAATTTTTTTGAAAAGATTTGAAGATTCGAAGAGAGTAAGGATTGGAGTATTCATATCAGATCAAGCTTTTAATCAAATTTTCACTCAAATTTGATGAACAGAGAGAGAGAGAGAGAGTAAGTTAAGTGATTTACTAATCATAACCATCATGGTTTGGTTGTCCTGACTCCTTATTGTTGTTGTTAGAACTTAAAGCTTGGATTAGGATTGGTTGTCCTGACTTCGGTGGGTAAATTGAAGTGTAAAACATTTAACTGATTACGTCGCTATTCATAAAATTAGTCTGTCTTAAATTTTTAAAATTTGGTCAAGATTTGTTTAAATTTGATCAATTTTGCTGCATTATTAGAAAGAAGTCAAGTACTCTCTCTCATACCCTCACCCAAGAACCTTCACAATTATTTATTTTTTGGTTCTTCTTGGAGGCTTGAGTGCTAGATATAGTAGTAGTGGGTAGTTTTGTAGATTAACTTGATATTGAAAATCATGTGTGCACTGCTACTTGCATTGTGCCCTTAGTGAGGCATAGTTGGGTTGCTTCATCGTAGTTATGTGATGATAACTTTTGATGTAATATGGGCTTCTATTCTCCCTTTTATTTATTTATTCTTTCCAAAATAAGGCAACTAGTTTTGGTTTCTAATCTAAACCAACTTGTAACAAATCTACCCAACACATCCTATAACTCAAATACAAAGTAAGAAAGAATGTACACCAGGTAATAATCAACTACTATCATCCATGGACACATGTCCGGATCACTACACAACAAGAGTAAAACCGGGATCGCTATAGTCACCCTTTTAATGAAAGAACATTTCATTTAGTAGGTCAAACATGTATGCAAGATATATTTGTTGTGTGATTCTAAAAAGAAATGGATTAGTTTTTTTCATTTAATTTTTTTTTTAATATCTAGAGTTCCTAATTAAAAGAAAAATTAAAGAGACTTGGCATTTTAACATTTATGTGTAATATGGCAAGAGAGTTTATGTTTTCTTTTTTTCTTTTTTTGGCACCTTTTTAAAGGAGTATAGTATTCTATGTTGTATTTCAAAAAAATATGGTGAATGTATCTAGAGTTCCTAAACTCTGTTTTTTTCAAATTTTTTTTTTCGAATATCTAGAGTTCCTAATTAAAAGAAAAATTTGAAAGACTTGGCATTTTAACATTTATGTGTAATATGGCAAGAGATTTTACGATTTTTTTTTTTTTTGCACATTTTTAAGGGAGTATAGTATTCTATGTTGTATTTCAAAAAATTCTGGTCAATGTATATATGTGTGTATTACTTTAGTTGTCTTCATGAAAAAAAAATGCATTAAACTTACAAGTATTTAACTTAACACAAGTATTTAACATAATCCGTTATAGATATCCTACAAGTATTTAACTTCACCAAGTATTTAACTTAACCGAAAAAAATGTATTTAACATTTTGTTATTAAAAAAAAATTGTACCATTCAAATGTAGTATATTTGTTGTGTGATTCTAAAAAGAAAGTGACTGTTTTTTTTCATTTAATTTTATTTTTTGAAAGACTTGACATTTTAACATTTAAGTGTAATATGGCAAGAGAGTTTATGTTTCTTTTTTTTTCTCCCACCTTTTTAAGGGAGTATAATATTCTATGTTGCATTTCAAAAATTCTGGTCAATGCATATGTGTGTATTACTTTAGTTGCTTGATGAAATAATTATTCATTACTGTTTATAAAATGGCTTTCTTATGTGGTGATTTTTTTTTTTTGGCATAAATTTATGTTTGGACTTTCCAACTCATAAATGGTGAACTTCAAAATATTTATGATTATAATGGGTTTTAATTTTGGTTTTAATTTCATCTCTATAAAATTGAAGTCAATTAAGAAAGAGAAAAGTTCAAATTTCGACAATTATTGTGCGCGAGTTTTAATTTATCATTTTAATGTGATTGTTAAAAAACATCTATTCTAAATGCTGGGTTGACTCAGAAAATGTGAGTTTGATTGTGGGTTTCTCAAAGAATGTAGGGAGAGAGAGAGAGAGAGAGAGAGAGAGAGAGAGAGATAGGTTATTTGGGACTTGCTTTGTGATTAGTGATTTGTATTGTACAAATTAGTCTGATAGGGAAGGAACTGTTTGTTTGGAGCTATTTAAAAAGAAATTAAGGGTGATTTATTAGTTGATCTTCCTGCAACAAAAAAATTAAACTGACACCCAGAAAAAATTTATTTAACATTTTATTTGCTGTGTAATATATTTATTTAGTTGCACCATTCAAATGTAATATTTATTTGCTGTGTGATTCTAATGTACAGATGATAAATATTCTTCATTTAATTTTTTTGTGAATATCTAGAGTTTCTAATTAAAAGAAAACTTTGAAAGGCTTGGCATTTTAACATTTATGTGTAATATGGCAAGAGAGTTTATGCATTTTTTTTTGTACCTTTTTAAGGGAATATAATATTCTATGTTGTATTTCAAAAATTCTAGTCAATCCTTATGTCTGTGCATATTACTTTAGTTGTCTTCATGAAAAAAAAAGTGTATTAAACTTAACGCAAGTATTTAATATAATCCGTTTTGTTTTGAATCAAATTCACCGAGTATTTAACTTAACCCAAAAAAATGTATTTAACATTTTGTTATAAAAAAATTTTAAAAAAAATTGTACTATTCTAAACAGAGAAGGCACATGCCTCTGGTGTCTGTTGACCTTTTTCTTTTTCTTAGAAGTTTATATTTTTATTTATTTCTTTTCCTCTTGATTGTAACCTGTTAAGTATTTTCTATTCATGGTAGTTATTTATTTAAATAAAATTTTGAATTTTATTATTCGATTTGGTAGCAACATATTTGGAAATAACATTTCATTGCCAATGAAATCCATGTTAACTTTTATTATTGCTAATTTTTTGTTTCTTTGTGTCTAAAATTATATAATCAATAATTTTTAGGTTGAAGTACAACAGTTATGAACAATATCACTATTTTTGGTCAAGTAAGTTTTTTTTTTCTTTTTTCTCTTCACATAAATTTAAGTACCTCTCTTATAAATTTAAGTACAACAGTTATGGACAATATCACTATTCTAATTATTTTTTTTCCTCATACTTTATAGGTAGATGGGGACTTACACCGAACCGTAATATCACCTCCCTTTACTAATTTTCTTATTTATGTGTATAAAGTTTTATTTATCACTCTAAAGCTTTTGTATGTATAGGTTTGATTTCTTCAAGAAAGAAATGTTAATGTTGTTATTCGCGATGAGCGTGACCTTAATACTATTCGCATTCTTGAGGTAAGCCTAAAAGTCACTTGAACATTAGACATGTATTTTCTTATCATTTTAAAATAATTTATAAATATATTCTACTTATTTTTTACAGGCAAAGGCAAAGGAAAAAGACAAAGCAATATCAAAAGAAACAAAAAAAGCTATTCCTTATGGCAAAAGAAAGGAAAATGCACATCCCATGGCATGGTTTCTCAACAATTTTTAAAAGTTTCTTTTTCGAATATATTATGTAGATTTTTTATATAGTTTCTTTTGCATAGTGTCATTTTTTTTTTATGTACGTTTTTCAAAAGTTTCTTCTTCAAAAATTTATTCAATTCTTTTTATTGAATGTGAAATATTTTTCTGAAGCATGTTAAAGTAAGCATTTGTACAACATGCTAATGCATTTGTATGAACATTAATTTGAATTTTTAATATGTTTGTCTATTTGTATGGACACATGTTGCATCTACAACATAACATAATAAAAATATAATAGAAGAAAACGAAAAAGGAAAATAAGAAGAAAGAACAAATATGTGATGAAAAGGAAACTACATAATATAATTTTTTTTAATTTTTATTTTTCTTATAAGAAGTTCTTAAGGAAAGAAGAAAAAGACAAAAATGCATTTTAATATAACAGAAACAACAAGAAGAGAGAAAAGGAAAGTACAAGGCATTACACGCTAATATTCACATTTTATGTACCCAATGATCTAATATTTACCTTTTCAACGTACATTTTGTAAAAAGATGGGTAGTGTCTTAAAACCAATAAGTGCGTGCATAGTGAGTTTGCAGTTTTGTGTGCTTAATGTGTTTTCAAATTATTTTTTCCTTCCTTTTTAAATTTCATAAATACATGCATTGGTTCTTATATGACTAACAACTTAACCGAGTGAAGAGGAAAAGTTAGTTAAAAGGAAGAAAAAATACATGATGAAAGGGAAACAAGTTAGTTAATCTTCACATTTTATGCACCTTCTTATATAATATTCTCATTTTAGGCACACAATGATAATGTGCTATCAAAAGCTGCATTGGCCGAACGTGCACGGCGAGAACGTGAAAAAAGTCAAAAGCCATGTTCTGCATATCAATTGGGACAACGCTTGCGACGAGAACGAGAAAGAGAAAGATAGAAGGAATGTACTAACCCAAGACAACCTTCTTTAACACCAAATTGGTAAAAAGAAAAAGAATCTTTTACCCAAGACAATTTTGAATTTTTTACTCTTACTATTACCACTTTATTATATAGATTTTAATTTGTTCACAATCTATTTCTGTAGGCCTCCTCCTACAACTCCATGTAGAAATGTTGGTGTGGTCATCCGTGATGAGCACGACCTTAATGTTATCCGTGTTCGTGCGGTAAGTACAAAATCAAGTCAAACATTATATGTATTTTATTTATATAAGATTTTTTTAAATCTTTTCAATATTTTATTTATATTTGTTAGGCAAAAGATAAAGAAAAGGTCAACCCAATGTCTAAAGGAAAAGAAAAGATGGCTCCTTCCGGCAAGAAAATGACAAATGCATGTCAAGTGGTATATATTCTTTTTTAAAAATATGATGCAAAACTAATCAAAATTTTGAATAATTAAAATATATGAGTGTATAAAATGAATTTATTGTTTTATGTTGTTTTTGTAGAATGATTGTAATATGTTTTCCTGTAACTTGCTATTATTTGTATGTGTTTTTCAAATTTATTTATTTTTATTTTGCATGGATACATGTGCATTTATAATGTACCATCCATAAGTTGTTACTTACATGAAGAAAAAATATATAAAGAAATGAGAAACTAAATAACATAGGTTTTTAATAAAAAAACAAAATGCATGAAGAAAGAAAGAAATAAAGATAACACTATTAAAGGTATAAAACAAATAAAATAGAAAACAAAATTAAGAGAAAGGGAAGAAATAAGAAGATAGTTTCATTTTAAGTACAAAATATTCACATATTTTGTTTCAATGATAAAATATTTTCTTTTTAGGCACAAAATGATAATGTAATATCAAAAGCTGCATTGGCCCAACAGGCACGGCGAGAGCGTGAAAAAATTGAAATTCAATGCTTGCAACGAGAGCAAGAGGGATTAGAAGAATGTGTTCAACTAAGACAACGTTCTTTAACACTAATTCATCGCGATCGCACTCATTTGGAGTGGGAAACAATAACTGAAGATTCTCAGTCGGCACAAAAACGAACAATGGTTACCCATCATTTTACATGTTCGTTTTCTATGCCAAGCATATCTTCAAATTCACAAAGGAATCGGTAAACTACTGTGTCTAATCTTAAAATACATACTTTTACTCATACCGTTTTGTTTTACAAAATTTTATTTATACACAAATATTCGTAGGTCTACTCCTATAAATCGATTTCTTCAACAAAATCTATGTACTGATAATGAATTAGAAGATCTGCCTACGAGTATATCAATTGACGCCCGGGTACACAAAGATTCTTGCCGCCATTATCTTGGCAAGATGGATGTATTATGTCCTTATTGTTCAGCCTTACATTGGATGGATGAAAAATTGACAAAATCATCTATAAAGCGTCCTTTATTCGAAACTTGCTGTTTGGAAAGAAAGATTAGGCTACCTTTACTTATTACACCCCCTCCACCACTTCAGGCATTGTAAGATGGGAATAATGATCAATCAAAATCCTTTCGAAGTTATACTCGAGTGTACAATGCAGCCAATGCTTTTACGAGTCTTGGTGCTACATTGGATCATATAGTACTCAGTGGAAGGGGCCCTACATCATTCACAATTCATGGGGAATTGCGACATCGAACAGGATCACTATAACCACAACCAGGGCAGGATGCGAGTTATGCTCAGCTGTATATCTATGACCCTTATTCAGCTTTAGAAATTCGTAATCGTAAAATCCTAACTTGAGAAGGGATGTTCTCAAAACTATTCAGGATAGTTTGTTGCAAGTCAATGCATTTGTAGATAAATATCGCCAGGCTCATGCCATTTTACATCAATTAGACTCGGCAGGACACAATCTACCTGCTCATCTTCATTACAGTTCAACAACTGATCGACGTCGGTATAACCTACCAACTACAGATGAGATTGCAATTGTAATACCAGGTGATGGAACAGAGGTAAATAGAATGAGAGATATTATTTTACATTTCTGAGGAAATAATGAGTTGATGCAAATTAATGAATGTCACCCAACATACTTGCCATTACATTATGTTCTATTATTTCCATATGGTGAGCTTGGATGGGAACTTGAGTTGAAATTGTGGAATGTTCAGTATGATCGACCTTCAGCTGATCGACTTACTTAAATGAATTTTTATAGTTATCGTTTGTTTGAACGACCTACAGAGTATTCAACAATTTTGAGAGGTGGAAAACTATTTCAAGAGTTTTTGGTAGATGCTTGGACTGCAACTGAGCAAAATCGATTGACAGACTACAAGCTTAATCAAGGGAAACTTCGGGCTGAGCTTTACCAAGAGTTGTCAGATATGGATCTAGATTATGTGCGACCTGGAAAAATTGGTCAAAGGTTTGTTTTGCCATCTTCATTTACTGGTAGTCCTAGACATATGTTTGAAATCTTTCAAGATTCAATGGCTATCACACGATACAACCAACACCCAGATATTTTTCTTACCATGACTGCAAATCCCAATTGGCCAGAAATTACTTCAGCATTATTACCATATCAAAAACCTATTGATCGTCCTGATTTAATTGCCCGTGTTTTTGAGTTGAAGAGAAAATGTTTGATGAAGGAGATAGAAACAAATAAAGTGTTTGGAAACAAAGTTGCACATGTTTTTACAATTGAATTTCAAAAACGAGACCGCCCTCATATGCATGCACTTTTATTTCTCAAGAGTCCAGACAAAATTCGGACATGTGCTCAAGTAGACAAATTGGTCTGTGCAGAATTTCCAGACCCAAAAGATGATCCTATGCTTTTTGAAACTATCAAATGTTGTATGGTACATGGACCATGTGGTGCTCGAAATCCGCAAGCACCATGTATGGAAAATGGTAAATGCACTAAGAGATACCCTCGAGCTTTCACAGAAACAACAACTATGGATCAAGATGGATACCCTATCTATCGTCGTCGCAATAATGGTCAAGTACATATTGTGAGAGGGCAAGAAGTTGATAACAGGGATGTCGTACCATACAATGCATATCTTTCAAAACTTTTCAACTGTCATATAAATGTAGAAGTTTGTGCCGGAATGAGATTTGTCAAGTATATACATAAGTACATTTACAAGGGTTATGATCATACAACGATGGTTTTAGGAATGATAAATGAGATTCAACAATATCTCGATGCAAGGTATATTGGACCTCCAGAAGCTGCTTGGCGAATATTTGGTCATCCTTTGCATGCAGAGATGCCAACAATTGTACGATTGGCACTTCATTTACCTAGAATGCATCGTGTTATTTTTAACCCAAAAGAGTCATTACAAATGATTCAATCTAGAGCTGGTCAACAAATATCAACTCTTACTGGCTTCTTTGCATATTGTGTTGCCAGTGAAGATGAATGTCCATTCACTTATCAAGAATTTTCACAACATTTTGTTTGGCTCAAGTCAAAAAAGAGATGTAAATCAAGAGAAAGGGGATATGCAATTGGTAGAATGTACTTTGCTAGCCCTAATTGTGGTGAAAGATTTTATCTACGTTTGTTACTAACCGTTGTCAAAGGACCAAAGTCGTCTCAGTCTTTACGCACGGTCGATAATGTTGTGCATGATACATTTAAATTAGCATGTGTTGCAAGGGGGCTTTTAGAAGATGATGAAGAATGGATACAATGCTTGAAAGAGGCTGCAGTCATAAAAACTGGATATCAATTAAGGAGATTGTTTAGTATTATTCTCACCCAGTGCTCTCCACTAAATCCATGTACATTATGGAATCAATTTTCAACGCATATATGTGATGATCTTGCACATAAGATTTGTACATTGTTTGTCATTTCTAAACCAACTGAGGCTCAAATTGAAGATTATGGTCTCCATCTTTTAAATCAAATGCTTCATGAATCAGACAAAAGTTTAATTGACTTCTCACCCATGTCACAACCTACTGCAAATTGGAGTGCAGTAGTTGGTAATCGATTGATAGTTGAACATCAACAACTGCAGAGTGAGGCACAACATGCAGATCCACAAATTACTATTGATTTTCTCAATAATGGACAGCAGAATGCTTATAATACAATCACTTCTTCAGTTTTCCAAAATAAAGGAACTGTTTTCTTTCTGAATGGGGGTGCAGGAACAGGAAAAACATTTCTATACAGTACGATTGTATTAAAATGTCATAGCCTTGGGCATATCGTTGTTACTGTGGCTTCGTCTGGAATTACATCACTGTTACTGGTAGGAGGTCGCACTGCACATTCAACATTTTCTATTCCGTTAGATGTATTGGAAAATTCACTTTGTGGGTTTAGCAAACAATCATTACAAGCTGAGTTATTTAGAGAAACAAAACTCATAATTTGGGATGAAGTTCCTATGCAACATAGACATTGTGTTGAGGCGGTTGATCGTACATTGAGGGATATTTGTGATAGTGAAAAGCCATTTGGGGTATTACTGTTGTTCTTGGAGGAGACTTTCGACAAATCTTACTAGTTATACCCAAAGGAGTTCGTGAGTAAATTGTGAATGCATCATTAAGACACTCTGTTCTATGGAAGCATATATATATCTTGACTTTGGATTTAAATATGCGCTTGAATCATGAAGGCTATGAAAATGCTAATTTTACAAATTTCTTGATGGAGGTAACACTACTTTAACCTGTATTATATAGATTATTTTAAATTAATAAATTGTGTTTACACTTACTTTTTTATTGATTTCACTTTTTTTTAGATTGGGACCAATCCTCAAGAAATCGTTAACCTTCCATCAACAATACACAAATGTCAAGATTTGAATGAATTACGCTCTACAGTTTATCCACAATTGAATATGATAGAGACGTCAATCCCAACATTTTTAACTGAACGTACAATTCTGTCTGCGCGTAACGATAATGTCAGTGACATTAATATTACTGCGTTGAATATCTTTCCAAGGAGATTATATACTTATCTTGCAGCAGATAAAATGTCTGAAGATAATGAAATTGATCCTACCATTACAAATAGATGTCCTACTAAATATTTAAATTCATTGGATCCTCTTGGGTTGCCAACTTTTAAGTTAGAGTTGAAAGTGAGTTGTCCTATAATATTGTTGAGAAACATTGCACCGAAAGATGGACTATGTAATGGTACAAGATTGATGGTTACTAGGTGCGGCACTCGCATAATTGAAGCTAAAATTTTAACTGGAAAAAAGTTTGGCAATTTGGCATTCATACCAAGGATATCTTTGATACCATCTTCTTTAGAAATGCCTTTCCAAATGACAAGACGTCAATTTTCAGTCCGATTGGCATATGCCTTGACCATTAATAAATCTCAAGGACAATCTGTGAAATTTGTTGGGGTTGATTTGCGTATACCAGTGTTTAGCGATGGGCAATTATATGTGACATTGTTTAGATGTACATCCTTTGATCATATAAGTATTCTCCTCCCTAAAGATAATTTGGATTCTACTACAAATATTGTTTATCCGGAAGTGTTGCTGTAGTATTCTATGCAAATTAAATGACGTTTTATTAGAAGGTAACCACGTAGATTTATGTCTGTTGATTATATAACTTTTTAAAAAAATTCAATTTAATAATATTTTGAAATTTGGACTTTTGTAGGATTGAACCGAAAAATCTATGGAGCTTAAACGGAGAAATACGACTACCTTGCTTCGATGGGGATGTTATAAAGTAATTTCAATATCAAAGTATTTTGACATGTATATTTCCAACAAATGTACTAGTCTATATTTTTTTTGTTTCCACAAATTACCAGATTGTTATGCATATTCCTCATTGGGGATACATAAAAGTTGATACAAAGACTTTTTGGAAAGTAATGAGGAGGAAGTTTGGGCAAACGCATATTTGAAGACATGTTATTGACACATCTTTTGTAAAGCATACATATTTTTGGTGTATGACAATATAATTTTTGGTGTATGACATGTTAATGACACATCTTTTGTAAAACATACATCTTTTGTAAAGTTTTAACCCACTTTTTGTAAAGTTTTAACCTACTCTTTTGGTGTATGATAGTATAACTTTATTTATGTTTTTTGTTCAGTGTTTACACTTTTTTTTACGGCCTTTTATATTTTGATATGCAATATAACTTTAAATCCTATATGTTTGTTTCTTAATTTGCATTAAGATTAGGGGGAGTTGTTATTTTATTTGAGTTTTGTAGAGTGTGTAATACAAGCAAAATTGTTATAAGTTCTTTAAGAAGAAAAATATTTCAATATATTTTTTCAGTATCTTTATCAAAAATAACACAAACTTTATAAATTTTAACATAATACATATAAATTATAATTATATTTTAAACTTAAAATTATTTACATCGTGTCTTTAGACATAGGCATACGCTAGTGTACATATAAAATAGAGGGATGGCAAATAGGCCTTTATTGGAAAATATATTTGGGGAATTCCCATTAAAAAAAAAGGATTATTTGTGGTGTGCGTATTTGGGGATATGGCAGCGACAGCAACGGCGACGGAAGCTCAGAGGATTTGGTCTTCAGTGAAGCCTCGCCGGCGGCCAAATCCGACAGTAGAGCGTAGTAGTATTCCGGCCAGAATTGGCATCTGCAACCCAATTCCTTTTCTTTCTACGTCTTTTAAGACCTCTTCGTATTCTTTTATAGTTCGAGCCTCCGAGGAACCTCAAACCCAAGAAGCTGCAAATTCCGGCTCCAATGACCCCGACCGTGCCTTCATTTCTCAGGTCTCTTTCATTAATCTTGAACCCAATTCATCAATTCACTAACCGTGTTAGCCCAAATGCTTTGTGTGCGTAAAAACTTTGTAGCGGAAAAAAAAATGTAGATGAGTAAAACAAATCATGACTCATTTTTGAGAGAAATAGGAATATGGGTAGGTTTTATTTTTGTATTTTGATGATTAATCTTGGTATTATTATGAAGAATACACAACCGATATGTCTCGTTCTTCATCAACTCTCATCACTTATTTATTTATTTTATTTATTTTTATTTTTATTTTTTATTTTTTGGTGCAAGAAATGAAATTGGGATAAAGGATAGCTCTTTTTTTCTCTCTCATTTCTCATCTAATTTGTGATTTCTCATTATCAAATTGTTCAAATCCAAATTGACTGTAAAAGCTTAAACTTTGGGTAATGAGCTCGATAATGAATATCATGTTGACACCATTTCAATTTCTCTTTTTCAATGATTTGTTGTTATTCTGAAAATAAAAAATAAAAAACTAATCTAACATTTTCTAAAGTGGAGAGAGAGAGAGAGAGAAAAAAAAAAAAGAAGAGCATTTTTTGCCCCAAGAGATGACGAGAGTGTAAGGAATGATGTATTTGGATAAGATTTTGAACTATGAAAATTGATGCAGCATTTGGATCCTTTGGAGGTATGGAATCCATGCTTAAGGATTGGAGGCTATCTATTAGTTTAAAGTTTGAATTAGATGGCCTGTATTTGCACTAAGATAGTCTCCAAGTCCAAGCATGAATTGCATCTTGTCAAATGAGGCTGAGGCTGAGGCTGAGGCTGAGGCAACATCACAACCATACAAAAATGCCTTAGGACAGTAATGTTAGGCAGTTGAAACTGGACAATACTGAGAAAAAATATCAGCCCCAGTGCTTAAATTAGGCATCTTATCCAGAAAGTCCCAAATATGGACCAATTCAGTCAATGGTAGAATGGAAAGTTTGTGAAGATAGAATGCTTTTCTGGCTGAATCGTGGTTTGTATGTGCAAATGTTACACTTTCAAAGTTCATGCTGAAATCCATGTTCACGCTTCACTGGCATGTTTTGTGTAATATGTATGTATATAGATATCAACAAAATTCACTCTCAACTGGATCTACTTGCCCCAAAAAAAGATTTCTGTTATGTGGAAGTACCATTTTACGAAGCAGGTTGAGAAAAGTTATACTGTTGTACGCTTCCCATTCTCAAAAACCCAAGTTCTCTGTATTGAGCGGTATTCTCAGGGAATCTCAAACCTATGCATTAAAATTTTCATCTAAAATTACGTAATGTCTAGTAGCCAGGTTCACACGCGAAGTTCCAAACCAACAAGCAGAACTTGGTTCAAGTTTACCATCACAATGTCTGACACTAACGGACTCAATGGCACCCTGCATTTTGTGATATTTTGTTTTCCATATATTTCATGTACTGCTGATAACAGTTTGTTTGACTAACTCTGCAATTCTTGGTTAAACAGGAGGATGTGAGCTACGTGTGGAAATTAGGAGCAGGTTCTATTGTTGGTGCAGCTGTGATAAAGTATGGAAGTGTCATTTTCCCCGAGATAACACGACCGGACATTTTGGTGGCCTTGATTATGATTTTTACTCCAGTTATTATTGCTGTTTTGCTCTTGATTAGGCAAAGTCGCCTGGAACAATAACACTGGGAACTTTCATATAACATTTTATCACATATTGCACTGGTGGAAAAGAATGTACAGAGATCCATTCGGTACATGCAATGCAAGTAGTTTCAATGGAATATATGTTTGTTCACAGTGCTGGAGCAATGTTGCAGTCGATGAATGCCCTAAGGAATTTGCCAATTTGGTAATGTTACTTTGATGATGAAATCACTTCTGCTTGTCACGTTTCTTCTTGTTGTGACAAGAAATGGACTATGATCATGATTCTTGTCTACAATTTTCATCAAATTTCAATCAATAATTCTATGAATTTGCAAAAAATTTGACAGCATATGAGGCGTAGAATGCGCAAGTACTGTGTTAATTTCATGGAGTTTATATGGTCAATCCATTTATCTGTGTTTCTTCGTGTGATGAATTTTGCTGCAGAAAACGCTATTGCTCATATTTAAAATAAAACTTGATTCCGGGTGACGGTCTTGGTTCCTGATTCCAAGGTATTACTCATATGGCTAATAAATTATTTATAAAAATAGAACAAATTATTAATGATAATGGGACAAAGTATCAGGTGATTTAAAACCTTAATGACATGTTTGATTGGGTGGATTAGAGCATGGGATTGAGATTATTAATCCGTAGGCCCAATTATCCTATGTTTGTTTTAACATTTTGCTTTAGGATTATTAATCCAACGGATAATTAATCCAGCAAATTTGTAGGATTATTAGTAATGGGGTAGGGGTGGGATTATTAATGCAATGGATATTAATCCAATTAGATAATGAATATCACACTAATTTAATAGGATTATTAATACTTCACTATTAATCTTGTCAATTAAACATGACCTAAAAGAAATTCAATATAATTATACGGGGATTTTTATATCATCTCCAAACCTAAAGAAAGATCAATGCGATTTACCCAACTAGTTAACACATTGTTAGCAAAAATTTGGTTTGGGTCAAATCGACAGGGTTGATTTGACAGAAAAATTAATTTTCACAAACAACAAACAGAGTAAGTAATGCGGTTGGTAGCCTATACCTTAATAGATTCAATGACTTTTTTAAAGGAAATTGACAAAAAGAAACAAACTAAAACTAATATTATATTGCTGAAATTGTTACTGGTCACAAAGATTTAAACAAGAATAAAAACACAAACGAATCAAGAAAAAGTTTACTGATTACTAGAACCAGAAAACAATTACAGAATCACTATATTAAAACTACTCCTAGAGAGAATAAACTACTCCTATAATGGCCTTGTTTGGTAAAAATGTAGGAAAGTGATTATAAATTATGATTTAACAAATTATAGATTATAACTTTAAACATAAGCGGTTAACCTATTTGGTGCAGTTGTGGGATTATGGATTTAATTAGCAGAGTAGTGTTTGGTTGAATAAGCTGTAAAATAATTTTTTGCTGTGTAATGTCCTTTTTGCCCTTTTTCTTTTTTTTCTTTTTCTTCATTTTATTTTATTTTCTTTTCTTTTTCTCCTTATTTTCTTCTCTTCTTTTTTTTTTTTCTTCTCTTAACTGTCTTTTATTCTCTTCTTTCTTGTTCTTCTCTTCTTACATTATAGATTATAACTTTAAACATAAGCTGTTAACCTATTTGGTGCAGTTGTGGGATTATGGATTTAATTAGCAGAGTAGTATTTCGTTGAATAAGCTGTAAAATAATTTTTTGCTGTGTAATGTCCTTTTTGCCCTTTTTTTCTTTTTTCTTTTTCTTCATTTTATTTTATTTTCTTTTCTTTTTCTCCTTATTTTCTTCTCTTCTTTTTTTTTTTTCTTCTCTTAACTGTCTTTTATTCTCTTCTTTCTTGTTCTTCTCTTCTTACATATTAATTATATTCATGTATTTATATTAATTGTGATTTCATTAATCAGTATTAATTAATACTAACATTATTAATTAGTATCAATTAATATAATCAAAAAAAAATCATTAAACAATCAATTTTTTTTTTCACTACAAAACCCTAGCCGCCTGCCCCTTTATTCTCCTCCATCCGTATGCCGCCGGCCCCCCTTCTTCTCCTCTGTTTCAGAGCGGCAACCAACTAGTTCTGCAAAACCCTAGCTGCTAGTCTGCAAAACCCTTCTTCTCCTTCTCCTCTTCATCCTAATCGCGAAGCTCTCGTTCGCGAAACACTAGCCGCTAGTCTAAAACGGCGTTGACGTGACGGCGTTGATGCGCGAACCGTTGATGCAAGTGCAGGAGGCGACGGAGAGAGAAAGCGAACGCCAGAGATGATTTCCTATTTCAGATCGCAATAGAAAGAGAGGGAGAGAGAGAGAGCTCTCGCCCATGAAACCCTAGCCGCCGGTCTGAAATGGCGTTGATGCGCGATGAAGAGAGAGAGAGGGAGGGAGGGAAGGAGAGCTCTGGTTTGTGTGTGTGTGTGTGTGTGTGAGAGAGAGAGAGAGAGAGAGAGATGAGAACAGTGTTGAGGAGCCAGAAATCACCCTCGTCGGAAATCGCCCCTGGCCAGAAATCGCCTCTGTCTCCCTCTCTCAAGTGAACAATGCTAAGAACAAGGCTTATGTAGTGGGTTTTTGGTAATAGTTGAAATATCTGAGGGGCATTTAAGTCATTACAAGCCTCAACAAATAGCTACGCATAATCAATTTTCAAAAGCACCTTTACAGATTATTGCTGAAATGACTTAAGTTATAATCCATCCCTCATAATTTTAACCACACTCCAACATGACTTATTTTAAGGTATAAGTTGATTTAAGCTACAATTTTTTACTAAACACCCCCAATATGTTAAACTACTCATAGGAAAATTTTATTCCTACAAACCTATTTTAACTCATGTTGAGTGTTGATGATGATTTCTCCGTTTTTGTTTCCTCCTCTGCCCATTTATAATCATACAGCCATGCGGTGTCTTACAAAACAACTACTCAAGACAGTTCCACAAGGCAGTTCTTCAATGATAAAGCAACCCATAATTCTAGTATCAACTCATGCGTGTCAACTCCAACTGCCTCCACTACTTCATTACGTATTCAATTGCCTCTTGCGCAAGCAATAAGTTAACAATAATAGTAATAATAACTAAAAATATAAATGTTTGTAGCCATAATTTTATATTAAAAATAATTTATGATCTGAATCAAAAGACTAAAATCGACTAATCATAATCAATAAAATTAAATTTAACCATAATCGACAAACCACAATCAATTAATTGAGATTGAGTCCTAATAAACAAGCCATGATCAACACAAAATTATTATTTTTTTCAACACAAACATTATAATTATTGATTATATGTAATTTTTTTATTTTGCATTGAAAGTAAAATCTTGCGATTCTTGATTCAATCCTACAATCCGATCAACGTAACAATTGCACATAGAATTCTGATTTTAACCTTGCTGATAAGGTTTGTGAGGTCTACAAAACCATAGATTCTCCATTGGTTAGACAATCGTCTTAGTTTCTTCATGGAGTCTCACTTGGATAACATGTTTTGGAATTGTTGAAGAGTCTTAAATCATAGATGGGGATTGACACTACCATCTTCAACATTTCAAGTAATTTTTCCTGCACAAACCCACTCCGGGCAAAACTAGACGGCAAACTTATCAAATAAAACATCCATAATAACTTCAAGACTTCAATTTTTTCTGATCAACCCTAACATTGACTGAGGTCTTACAATTACTACTACATGACAGCCCATCAGATTTTGAACAAAGGCCGCAGGAGCCTTAACCTACACATCTTTTGTCTCCCAAACCTAGATTATTACATTATTGCAACAAAATAAATTTATAAAAAGAAGGATTCTTTGGCAAACATCCCATGTCTGATCTGATAATCAAGCTGTTTAAGTTCCCCTCTCTTTATCAGAAGATATCGGGATTGAAGCGTCCAGGGATAGAGTTGCTTTGCTGAGCCTGCTGCAAATGCAATGTCAGTGCATAATTGTTCACCTGAAACCATATACCACGAAAGCAGAATTGTTAGCCCATAAATGTGTTTCCAAAAAAAAAAAAAAGTTGCGAACTAACTCAAGTTTGTAACAAAAATGCAGGGCCATTGCCATGCTACAGATGCTCTTTATCACAATGAATACAAATACTCTTAACATATAGAAAAGAGGTTGTACATTATTATTATTATTATTTATTTATTCTTTTAACCACTTTTTTTTTTTTTTTGATAAATAAATTATTCTTTTAACCTCTCTGGAAAACATGTTCACATGAATCATATCTTTTCACAGTTTGGATACAAGTCCAACTGAATACCATGTGATCCACTAGACAGGTGGTGATAATATTTCCATTTTAAGCTCAGCAGTCAAGATTTTTTTATGGATGCAGCCCGTTAAGATGTGTAAAAAATCCCTTGGTGTGATTCTTTCTGAAAAACAAGAACGGAGTTGATAAAGATTCGATTTTAACCTCAAGAGTCCTCAGTTGCTGCTGATATTGAGACAACAATTGCTTCAAATGTTGCACCTCTTGGTTCCTATCATCGTACTCCTTTTGACGTTCGTGCTGGATAGCCACAGCACGTTTGAGAATGGAGTTCTCCCGGAGCAGAACTTCAATTTGTTCCTTGAGCATCATATTCTCCTGATAACAGAAAACAGCCGACAACAATGTATGTATGCAATATTGTTTTCTATCAACTGGAAAAGAAGTAATAAGTCCAGTAAACCAATCAAAACATTTGTGAGCTTGTTTCCATAACAAGCTTTATATGTCTAAAGAGATTCCAGCAGCAAGCTACATAACAAGGGCATCAGAAGTAAGCATTAAAAAAACATGCATCCTTAATACCAACCTTATGATAACTTTGTGCTGCCTCAGCACCAGCACGTACAGTAATAGACTTCTCTAAGCTTTCCAGGGCTCTTGATGCACGGGATCTAGCATCATCTATGCTAGTAGCACTCGTCATTTCCCTCACAAACAACTCAACCCATTCTGCACCATCCATCTGTAGATAGTTTTGGGCTGAAGGATCCACCGGAGGAGCTGTAACTCCATCATTGGTTGTTGAACCTGCAAATTTAGGATGCACGCCTAAGATTCTAGCCTCCAAGAGACACCAAGTAAGACAAGGTTTGAAGTGGTCAGCTAATAAAATTGCACCATTCCATTTTAAACCATGAGATTGTTACTATGTAGTCTGGCCTAATAATGCCTGTCTCACCTTGAGGCTAAGTATGGATGATAAGAATCTTGACAGAGAATGGAAATGTGATTCATGGTCCCATGATTCCAATGTTAGAAACGAATTGGAATAAGAAAGTGATTTTTAATTATCTATTTCAATAAGAATCACATTCCCAAATTAAGTAGGAATCTAATCCCCCCATTTTCCCATGGGAATCTCACATTCTTGGAATATTAACCACTTAAGAGTAAAACATAATAATTGGGCCACCCTCTTTCAACCAAGGAAAAAGAGGGGGCCATGATCCCCTCAGTGCCGGCTTCAAGGCAAGATTGAGGAAGCGTCCGCTTTGGGCCTCCAAAAATTGTTTTAAAAAAAGGGCCCCCAAAACTGTCAAAATCCTCCGTCATCATTTCGTAGGCTGCAGCAAATTCCACGGCTTCCATGGTGTCTTGATGGGTTTCTTCAGATCTATGAGTATAGATGGGATAGAGGGAATATCAATAATGCCGAGTGCACAGAGGGGCCTCATCGACGCATTATTCAGAAATGCCACTACCCAAAAGTGACCACTACTGACCACTACTTTTATCAAGATATGGACATATCCCCATATTCGAGATAAAAAGACTCAATAATAGGTAAACGACAAACAACTTTTATCAAGATATGGACATATCCCCATATTCGAGATAAAAAGACTCCTAAAAAGATAAGGAAGAATAGTTCTCAACAGCTTTTCTCGGTAGTGAGACCGAGTAGTGATTGAAGTGAGACTACTATTCAACACACAATAATTTACATAAAGAGGGCCCACCACTTCTTCCACTAAATGCGATAGAGACGCATCAGCATAATGGTGTCGAACAACTCGCCATCGATCTCCTTGAGTTCCTGCGTTTGTTGGTGCACTGTGTGGATGTTGTCACTGTAGGTATTGTCGCTGACTGACATCCGAGCAAATGCTTCGAGTTTAAGCTGTTGGATCTTAACAAGTTGTTGCATGGCAGTCCTTGCTTGTTGGATAGCTTCATCTTCTGTGACGGCGAGATCTCCTTGTATGGCTGAGAATTCATTAAAGGAGATTCCAGAGTCATAGGTGAGATGATCTTCATATCGCTGGAGGGTTGCCTGGTAGTCTGCAGCAAGGGGATGAATTGATGGATCAATCCAGCGGTGAGATGGTTCAGTCTGAGCGAGCCGGATTCTTTCGTCTCCTGACATTGGAGGATAAGTTCTTCGAGTTGAAGAAGGCCTGCTTGAACCTCCATACCTTCCATATCCTCCTCGGTTGGCCATTCTGTTTCAAAACAGAGTGAGAAAACTAATCTTGATAGTGCATCTGCAAGAACATTATCAGAACCACTAATGTGTTCTAATTTTACATCAATACCAAGACCAGTAATGTAATCAGTGAAAACAAGCCACCTAGACCTAGACGGCTTATGATTAGCAGTTTTGTTGAAAAAGCTAATAATAGCTTGACAGTCGGTTCTCAATATTAACTGCTTTTTGTGAAGATAAAATATCTTGAATGCTTCCAGAGAATTGATGCAGGCATGAATTTCAGCATCAATGGTTGATTTAATTGGGCTGAATTTCCCACTGGCGTAGGAGCATATCTTTTCAGTTGAGTGGGGATCCATTGATGCAGCCTTCCATTTACATATGCCACCCCATCCAGTCATACAACCATCGACTTCAAGGACGATTATACATTCCTCTGGAGGAATAGAGAGGCTTGGAAGCTTTTGAATTTGGGCTTTTATTTGCCGGATTAAGGCCCAATCCTGAGAATTTAACCTCTTCTCTCCTTTTGGACTTACTTTTGAATACAAGGGGCTGAGAAGTCGGCCCATATTCTTAATGTAAGCCCGAGCGTAATTCAATAGGCCCAACCATGATCGTAAGCCTTTTGTCCCCTTCAAAGTTTCCTCAGGAAAATCGGCTACCTTGGAAATTATATGAGGCTGCAGTTTTATCTCCCCATGGCCTATTGTCGAACCCAAGAAATCCATTTGGGCCTGTGCAATCTTCATTTTTGTTGGACTTAGAATAAGCCCATGCTTCTGGCAAATACTAATCATCATCTGAATATGGTTAGCATGACTCTTTTCATCAGGAGAGAATACCAGTATATCATCAATATATACAGCAATATATTCCTCTGTGCCTTTGAAGCAATTATCCATTTTTCTTTGAAAAATTGCAGGAGCGTTCTTCAAACCGAATGGCATAACCAACCATTCATAAAGACCAAGAGGGGTCCAAAATGCAGTCCATTCAATTGAATCAGGGTGCATGGCCACTTGGTGAAATCCGCTCTTAAGATCAAATTTTGAATAAATATTACTATGGCCTATTTTTGCCATAATCGTATTTATTCCTGGCAGACTATATTGATCCTTGTGGGTATTGTCATTAAGGCGTTTGTAGTTACAAACCATCCTTTCCTTTCCCCGTTTTTCTTCCTTAGTTATAGGATCAATGTATGTACCTGACTGGACTATGAAAGCTGTAGTCCTATGTCTGCTTTTGCTTGGACGAATCACCTTTAATTCCAGCAGTTGATCAATATGTTTTTGAAAGCTCTGCTTCATTACTGGTGTGATATGCTTCATCGGCTTATCATCAATGATGAAGTCAGGATTTTTCAAATCCAATTTGCAGGTGATTTGATTTCTTGTCCATAACTTCATAGGATCTTCTCCGATTATCCCACATGTGTTCAGTTGCTTGATTACCTTGGGATATTTGTCCATAAAATCGGATCCAGAGATTGAATGGAAGATCCATTCCTCAGAATGATCATAATAATGTTCTATCATAAGCTCATCTTCTTCATTCAGGGTTTCTTCCAGGAGGTTAACAGACTGCCGAGTTTGTATGGTAATGACATTCTTATAGAACGTAACGTTGTCACCTTCAATTCTGACGCCACCATACATAGATCGAATGAAGTTGCAGCCTATGATCATTTGGATACGCCCACCAAGATGAAAGGGAAAGCTGTATGTATAGGGAATACGAAACCAGTTATCCCCAATATACATTTTTCCTCCTTTGAGCTTTTTGTTTGCTTTGGACTGTGAATTAATGCCATTAAATTCCACAGTATAAGAATTTTCTTCTAAAGCGTCTTCAGGTACTGAATCTGAATCAACAACACAAGTGGTTGCTCCTGTATCCAAGATTGCGTTCAGAGTTGTTCTTTTTGATCCAGGAATTTCAATGTCCACCGTGATGTTATAGAGCATATTTTTCTTCCTTGCCTTCTCCTCTCCCTGAGCAATAGTGAAGGCATGCAAGTGCTTTTCTTCAGCTTCTGATGCTTTTGCCTCCTCCTCGAGAAGTTCCTTTTCTTCTTCTTTATATTTTCCCTTTTGCCTCAGCTCCTCTTCATCTTTTTCCAATTGTATTGTGAGCCTAAGGTCCTCAAGTTCCGTCTTGTATTTGGATACTTCACCCTTTAATCGATTCATCTCTGATTCACACCATTGAATGTATTCCTGTTGTTGTTGGAGTAAGGGCTTTTGATTATAGGGTACTGGAGGTCTTGACTGCATTACGAATTTTGAGAATTTAAAATAGGGGACGGCACATAGAGCACATGTAATTGCATTACATTTTGGGCAGAATGCTCTTGATTGGGCAGCTAAGTCCCTTCGGCATGTCGTACAGTCAGGTTTTCTGTCTGGTGGTAGGGGCTTCTCCTGTTCCCAGGCATGAGAACAGTGATATATTTCTGGAGGGACTGGCTTCTGTGCGCGAAATCCTCCCGCTTCTCCAAGCAAATATTTATTTGAATCCTCTCGGAGCATATATATCGTCTCAATGCTCCCACCGATTTGTTCTGTGTCATCAATTCCTTCAGATACAGAATAGATAGCATCTGAGTCTTCTTCCTCAGGATGAACAGAAACAACTTCATAATCTTCGGGGACTTCAATATTTTCAAATAAAGCCACTCGTTTGACATTCTTCTTTTCTTTTTCACAGTCACGAGCGTAATGGCCTTCTTCTCCACATAAATAACATTTGCAATGCCTTGTCTTCTGCAGGTATTTTCTTTTGTCAATTCGCACATGGGAAGGATGAGGCTTTCCTTTGTATGTGGTGGCTTTGCGAAGTCCGTACTTCTTCTTTTCGGTCTCTTTGTAATATCCTGGAATGGGAATTTCTTTGCAGAAATCCAAATTTCGGAGGCTCTTCTGGAAAGCAGCATTCTTACATTCGGCCTCCAGATATTTATAGGAAAATAGGATTCTTGGACCAACACCAATGATATTTCCAGGATATCTTTCACTGAATGCCTTTTAACCCAGAATATCTTCTTTCTACCTCTTCAACTGCTGTTTCTAACTATCAGCCTCCGCAGGATTCAATGATGGGTCCTCCTGGTTATCCACCAGCCACTGGACATACTGCTATTCCCATTCCTCAGAGACCTACCTATGGGAATGGAGTGCCCAGATTCTCAAATTTTCGAAGAGACCCAAAGAATGAATGGTGGAATTTGCCATCTGCAATGCATCAGACGGGTGCAATCTTTGTAATTCCACATCCCCTCGGAAAATTCGATGACGTATTCATGCGCTGGGAATCCATAACAAAGATTCATGTAGCCATGCAAGGATTCACAGAGGTCCGCAACAAAATCAGCTTTGGCAACAGCTTGAAATTCTGCTGGTATCTCACCACCTTCCGTTAAAACAGGAAAGATAGTGGTCTTGACTGTTTGGGCGGCAAAAGGATTAACCCAATCAGATTGTGGGTAATCAGTTGAAGCTTCGGGATCAGGTTCATAAGCAGGGTCATACCCATAAGGGTAAAGGATTTGATTGGTGTCATCAGTGTCAGAGGGAAAATCAGCAAATCTGACAGTGCATGGATTGAGAGAAAGGGAATCATCATTATCCCATCCAGAAGCAAGAGTTTCTTGTCGACGAGATAATTCATTTTGAACAGAACTTTCCTCGTCGGAATCTTCCATTAGTTCATTGTCATTTGAATCATACCGAACAGGTGGTGCTTGTGTTGCATTGACATAGTTACCAAAACGATAACTTACGTTGCCTCCTGGAAGATTACGCCTTCTTCAACTCGAAGAACTTATCCTCCAATGTCAGGAGACGAAAGAATCCGGCTCGCTCAGACTGAACCATCTCACCGCTGGATTGATCCATCAATTCATCCCCTTGCTGCAGACTACCAGGCAACCCTCCAGCGATATGAAGATCATCTCACCTATGACTCTGGAATCTCCTTTAATGAATTCTCAGCCATACAAGGAGATCTCGCCGTCACAGAAGATGAGTCTGAATTTTCTAGTTCTTATTTCTTATCCTTAATTCCTGTCTTTTGTTTTCGATCCTATCCTATTTTGGTATCAGAACAAATCGGTGGGAGCATTGAGACGATATATATGCTCCGAGAGGATTCAAATAAATATTTGCTTGGAGAAGCGGGAGGATTTCGCGCACAGAAGCCAGTCCCTCCAGAAATATATCACTGTTCTCATGCCTGGGAACAGGAGAAGCCCCTACCACCAGACAGAAAACCTGACTGTACGACATGCCGAAGGGACTTAGTCTCACTTCAATCACTACTCGGTCTCACTACCGAGAAAAGCTGTTGAGAACTATTCTTCCTTATCTTTTTAGGAGTCTTTTTATCTCGAATATGGGGATATGTCCATATCTTGATAAAAGTTGTTTGTCGTTTACCTATTATTGAGTTGCAAGTCCTCCATCGAATAGAACAAGGAACTATGGCACTAATGTGGGCTTTGCCTATGAAGTTCAAGGGGACGGCACATAGAGCACATGTAATTGCATTACATTTTGGGCAGAATGCTCTTGATTGGCAGCTAAGTCCCTTCGGCATGTCGTACAGTCAGGTTAAATTCTCAGGATTGGGCCTTAATCCGGCAAATAAAAATTCGTAATGCAGTCAAGACCTCCAGTACCCTATAATCAAAAGCCCTTACTCCAACAACAACAGGAATACATTCAATGGTGTGAATCAGAGATGAATCGATTAAAGGGTGAAGTATCCAAATACAAGACGAAACTTGAGGACCTTAGGCTCACAATACAATTGGAAAAAGATGAAGAGGAGCTGAGGCAAAAGGGAAAATATAAAGAAGAAGAAAAGGAACTTCTCGAGGAGGAGGCAAAAGCATCAGAAGCTGAAGAAAAGCACTTGCATGCCTTCACTATTGCTCAGGGAGAGGAGAAGGCAAGGACGAATCATCTTGAATTTCCTGATTGCCAAAATCCTCCGTCATCATTTCGTAGGCTGCAGCAAATTCCACGGCTTCCATGGTGTCTTGATGGATTTTGGTAGCAGCTTCAAATTTGGGAAAAGCTTTGGCAACAGCTTGAAATTCTGCTGGTATCTCACCACCTTCCGTTAAAACAACTATTATACTTGCTCATTAAAAATAAAAAATAAAAAAAGCCCCCCCAAAACAAACAAAAAAGCTTATTGATGTGGTTAATTATTTGAAACTAATGGATGGTTGTTTCCCAAATATATGGATTATGTATATTGACTATACCTATTACAATTGTTTATGGGGAAATAAGCTTTTTAAGATTGAAATTGATTAAATCTTACTTACCTTTAGTCAACTATGTCACCAGAATGATTGAATGGATTTGGTTGATAAGTTGAATTATACAAGTTTGATTAGTAATATTAGAGCTAATCATTTGAGATTTATACTCAAGAATACGGAAGTTCAAAATTTTTAAATAAAATTTAAATTACAAACTGGTTTGATTTTGCCCAAAAAAAATAACAAAAACTTTCCATATTAGAAGGCCAGTTTGGAATAATTATTATTATTTTTTAATGTATAAAAGGCCCCGTGTTAGAAATTTTGCTTTGGACCCTGGACAAGTCAAAGCCGACCCAGGATTCCCTGCCCTAAATATGCTATTACCCTTCTTAGAAAGAGCAATTATTAGCTAAGTATCCACTTTCAAAAAATCTCTATCTCCCGCGCGTGTGAGCGCACGTGCACGTTGGATTGAGCAGTTCACATTAATGACCTTGATCAAACCAAAAAGGAAATTTCATACGAGTCATCCAACATATGCAATATAGAATTTTTTGTAATAAATGAAGCCAAATCTTAGAAGGCCATCCCAACCCTGACTCAAAAGTTAAAGAAAATTCCAATACTAATAAACATGCGAGTTGAGATGAAGGGAGCAAAGATGGGGCTCAAAATTTTCAACCTATCCTCCTCCATCTGTCCATTAAAATTAAATATATACCTTTATCCATATTTGCATTCGATTCCTCAGCAGAATCTGAGTTTCCTCCTGCATATCCAAGAGAAAGCTCATGGAGGCTCTTGATAGCAGCATTTAAATCATTGCCACATTCATCTAGCGCTCTCTCAAGAAGCTGAAAGATCAAATGATAAAGGAATCAGTAATTAATAATTTTATCAACAACTGCACACAGAAAAGATATTTCTTGATAATGCAGTTAATAATTGTGCAGAAGCAAATATCATTTCAATGAGTAAGAGAACATGAGCCACATTATATTCAAATAAGGAAATTTAATATAGGTAGGGTTCACAAAAGAATTAGAAAGTTTTTTGATTATTCAAATACACCAACTAGACTAGTTACAATATCAAAACATTGATAGCTTCGACTCGTGTCAGTGATTGAAACTACAACAACATGGCTGGCAATAAAACGAAGTACATGGAACAGGGTCCACACAAATGTTCACAAATGTATAGTAGATGACCCTCTATGAATTATATTGCACTGATAGGCCAAACCTCCCGTAACCGTAACTTGCAATGACAAATATCAAGACTCTGGAGAATTGATTTTCCCCATGAAAAAGAGATGGACAATGCACCTCCCATAAAAATATTAACTTTCTACAACAGCTAGTTAGGCTGTGTTTGGGTCATGGATGTATGTGGGTAGGGATTTGAAAAGAGAAAGGAAAAAGACTGTGAATGTAACTATATATTTCATTGATATTTCACCCACCTTTTCCTTTACCTTTTTCAAATTCTTACTCAAATCAATGATCCAAACACAACCTCATAGACTACAGTTGATCAAGTACAGAAAAGTGACATACCCAAATGAATATTCATCTAGGGCAAATGTTCTATTATCCCAAACACTCCATTAAAAAATTTAATAATCATCACCAACATCTTGAAGAGAAAACAAAGAAAAAAAGCATCAATTGCCCATATATAACCATTTGAAGCAAAAGTAATGCATGAATGAATGATTGATCCCATGGTAAAACCAAAAAATAAAAATAAAAAAAAAATTGACAATTATAAGAGTAAAATCAAAACCCCCCAAAGGAGTCTCAAATCATAACATTTTCTAAATTCAAAAACCAAATTCAACCAAAAAAAAAAAAAACTAAAACATTCAGATCTAACACAAAACCTAATATCATCATCAATCAAACTGACCTGATTGTCCATATCGGGGAATCGAGCTCGGAGCTGATCGAGGAGAGACGGAGAATTGGAGAAAGGAGAGAAGCGAACCGGAGAGGTGGAAGAAGAGCAGCGAAGCCTCTTGGAAACAGGAGGCGATGATGAAGATTGTGGCGATGAAGGAATGTCTTCGAAGAAAGATCTCTTGCCACACACAATTGCAGACATTGTTCAAATCTCCCTCTGCTCTTTAATTTTGTGTGTTCTCTTCTCACACCCAAGTTCTGATTCAAATCGATTCAATCTCAAAACCGTTTCACAGATTGATGATGATGATGATGATGATGATGATGATCTGAGATCGTGAAACTATGGGTTAGGGTTAGGGTTTTGAGGATGGGTTCTTGGAGGTTGGTTGGGATTCGAGAGATTCGAAGCTTTTCTTCGGTGATACCTTTGTCCCTCTTTGTTGTTTTTATTGTGGTGAATTGATGGTGATGATATTGATGCGAGAGGTTGATTGTGGACAAAGAAACTTTCGCACGCGATACTGAGCGCGTGGTTTTGCATTTTTCAGACATCATGCATGGGCAGAGTTCGGGAAAGTACTTCGTCAGGTTGCCGCAGTCTGTCCGAAACAAATTAATAATAAATAAATAATACTAACGGATTATTTAGAATGATTTAAATAATTATATTTTTTATGAAAATATATGTAAAAAATAGAAAAATAATGTTACTTAAAAAAGATAAATATATAAAAAAATATATTATTTTAATTCATGCCAAATAATATCTAAATACTCATAATTTAAAAAGACATAAGCTTAGAGGTCTAGGTTTTATTATTCTGATTTACTTATGTTGTATATGATTAAAGAATTTGAGAAGAGACTTGAAAAAAAATTATATAAAATTATATAAAATGTGAGTATATTTTATTTACATTTTGCATACTATTTTTCTTTTTCTTTTTAAACTTCTTCCTAAATTCCCTAATCAAATACAGTATTAGGCGACACAGTTGGTAGAACAAACTTTTCAGGTTTAGGTTAATCGTACCCAGTGTTAGGAGTGTAGATTTGAATCTTCACCTATGTACCCAAAAAAAAAAAACTCCACCTATGTGTAAGTCTGAAAAAAATCTCCACCAATGTGTAAGTCTGCTAATCACTAAATCATGAAGTGACTCTACTATGTAGCATTATCTAAAAATGACCTCTAAGATCTCAATTCCTTAAGATCTACCACCAGAGATTAGGGATAATAATTTGAACTCGGCCCAACGGGAACCCGACCCTTCGTCCTTGATTAGAATAGATATTCCCCGAAAAATACTCCCGACGGACTGAAGATGGTATTCAAAAATGCAACAACGATCAGTTTCAAGCTGGGGACGAGGATAGCTTTCACAGGCCCGAACCCGATGCGTCCTGGGCCCCGTTTTCCCCTAAAATAAAATTACTTTTATACCCCTTTATCTATTCATATATATACTCCCCTCTCTCTCTATCAGATTTGGATCACTCTCTATTTCTCTCAAACCTCTGCCTGCCTGTTTGTCTGTCTGTTTATCTGTCTATCTGTCTATCTGTCTCTCTCTCATTCGAAACCCTAACCTCAAACCCGTATCAATCGAAGTAGAGAAGGAGCAAACCATGGAGATGAAGTCCCACAACCCAACCAACGAGAATAGCACTAAAGACAACGTCGTCCCACCACCTCTGCCATTCAACAACGAGAGTCGATCGCAGCTCATCTCTTCTCCCTCTCTTACTCGCTACTTCACCACCGCCTCTGCCATTCCAGCACCGCCTCCGTCATTCAATGACGAGAGTCGATCGTAGCTCATCTCCCCTCTCTCTTTCACTGCTGCTCCATCACCGCCTCTGCAATTTTACTACCACCTCTATCATTCGACAATGAAAGTCGAGCTCAGATCTGGAAGATCTGGTTACAGCGGTCAGATCTCATGTCCTAAACCCGGTGCGTCCCCGGCCCCGTTTCCTCCTAAAATAAAATTACTTTTATACCCCTCAATCCATTCATATATATACTCCCCTTTCTCTCTATCAAATTTGGATCACTCTCTATTTCTCTCAAATCTCTGTCTGTCTGTTTGTCTGTCTGTCTATCTGTCTCTCTCTCATTCGAAACCCTAACCTCAAACCCGTATCAATCGAGGTAGAGAAGGAGCAAACCATGGAGATGGAGTCCCACAACCCAACCAACGAGGATAGCACTAGAGATGACGTCGTCTCACCACCTCTGCCATTCGATAACGAGAGTCGATCGCAGCTCATCTCTTCTCCATCTCTTACCCGCTGCTTCACCATCGCCTCTGCCATTCCAGCACCGCCTTTGTCATTCAATGACGAGAGTCGATCGTAGCTCATCTCCCCTCTCTCTTTCACTGCTGCTCCATCACCGCCTCTGCAATTTTACTACCACCTCTATCATTCGACAATGAAAATCGAGCTCAGATCTGGAAGATCTGGTTACGGCGGTCAGATCGCATACCCTAAACCCGGTGCATTCCTGGCCCCGTTTCTTCCTAAAATAAAATTACTTTTATACCCCTCAATCCATTCATATATATACTCCCCTCTCTCTATTAGACTTGGATCACTCTCTATTTCTCTCAAACCTCTGTCTGTCTGTTTGTCTGTCTGTCTATCTGTCTCTCTCTCATTCGAAACCCTAACCTCAGACCCGCGTCAATCGAAGTAGAGAATGAGCAAACCATGGAGATAGAGTCCTACAACCCAACCAACGAGGATAGCACTAGAGATGACATCGTCCCACCACCTCCGCTATTTGACAACGAGAGTCGATCGCAGCTCATCTCTCCTCCCTCTCTTACCCGCTACTTTACTACCGCCTCTGTTATTCCACCACCGCCTCCGTCATTCAATGACGAGAGTCGATCGTAGCACTTCTCTCCTCCCCCTTTCACTGTTGCTCCACCACCGCTTCTGTAATTTTACTACCGCCTCTGCCATTCGATAATGAAAGTCGAGCTCAGATCTGGAAGATCTGGTTACGGCGGTCAGATCGCAAATCTATCTCTCTCTTCCTCTTTCTCACCATTTCTACTCTCTCGGTCTCTCTCTTTATTTTTTAAATCTGTTGTGTTGTTGTTGTTGATAAATCTGTTGTTGTTGTAAAATCGCAGATCTGTTGCTGTTGTTGTAGTTGTTAAGTTTGTTGTGTTATTATTGTTGAATATTAAATTTGTTGTTGTTAAATCTATTGTTAAATATCAGATCTGAAGCTGAATTTTATTTATTTTTTTTGGTCAGGGAATTTTTGGGGTTGAGGTGTAACAACCTCGATCCACAATTACCTGCTAAGCCATGATTAATTATGCCTAATGAGTGATTAAGATCAAATTCTGCATTAATTGCATGCAAGTAGCATCATTTGTGTTTATATCTGTTTATCGTAGAAATATCTATTTGTGTTTCTGTTTCGTTCTGCAAATTGAAGGCCTTATTGACATCTGATTGCGAAATTGACTTAGGTTATGTGTTATTTCAAATTTTTAGAATTTAATGGTAGGTTTAATTGAAATTCGATTTGGAACGAATTAATTAGAATAAATAATAACCATTTGCTTGGTTTAAGCCAAGATTAATTAAGTCAACTTAATAGAGCCTATATAAGGCTCTATTAAGTTGACTCATGTATACTCTTGCCTAAATTACACACTCTTGTTCCTTTACTCTAGAGACTCCAAACGTGAGAGAGGGAGAGAGAATTAGAAAATGAGAGTTGATTTAAAGAATGAATTGAGGAATTGTTAGGCAATTAAGGAGGCAATGGGAGAATTGAGCTAGAACTCACCAAGAATTCAAAGAATTGACTTTAGGTAAGACTTTCATTCCTTAAGCTTTTATTTGACTCACCCTTACAAGAATTCAAGAGAATTTAGTTGAGTTATGCAAGAATTGAACTTAGATGGATGACCATAAGAGTGTATCATGCATGCATGCATATATCATAGCATTTTGAGTTGATTCTAAAGAATTTTCACATGCATGTGTCTATGTTGACTTGGTTTTGAGAATTCATCACAATTCTTACCACTTGACCTTAATTGATCATGTTTTGGAAAGTCTAAGTTCATAGAAATTCATGTAGGTCATGTTCGTGGCATATTTATAAGTTTCAAGTTGACTTTTGAACAACTGGCATGCTATTGGGCCTTGATTTTACGAATGGTTTTGAATTCAATATGTTTTTCCAAGTTCACACAAGTTTCTTCAAGTTTTTGGCCCAAAAAGATGAGTTTTAAAGTGTTTGATTCGAGTTTTGAAGCTTTGAGGTAAATTTGAAAATTCCAGAATTCGATCTTTCCACTTGAGCGACAAAACCTATGCTCGAGCGACCACTCTGTAATCTTGTACTTCTGCTCGAGTGTCAAGTGGAAAAATCAAGGAACCAGTACTTTTGCAGAGTTTATAGACCGCTGGAGTGATAGAAGTTATGCTCGAGTGACGACTCACATTTTTGCATGTCCCCTCGAGCGAAGGAAGTTGCACTCGAGCGAGACCCCTATTTTCAGCAAGTTTTGTTAAGAGTTTCAAAGTGCATTTTGACATCCTCATTGCATTTTAGATATTCCTAGGCCATAATTAAGGCCATAATTAAGACCTAATAATGAGGGTAAGACTTAGAAACACACTAAGAACGAAATAAAAGAAGTTATGTGATATCTGAGTATGTGTTTCAAGATGTGTAGTTGTCATGTTTGTGTAGGTCACGCGCTATAAGCTATTTGATTTTGTCTACTCTGCCTGTCCGCATCTGGAGCCTTCAGTGAATAATAACTTAGTAAAGCTATGTTCGACCTTAATTATTTTTTGTACGAAGAAATAAGATCTGTTTATGAAATGTTATGTTCTATAGGATGAATGGTTGTCCTATTTCCTGATGAGTATTCGTGGCATCCTTAGCAGGAGGCCCTTGCTCGGAAGTAATAATACTGTGGTCTATAAACACAAGGTCCTTGCCTGAGGGTAACAATACCGTGATCTCATAGCCCTTGCCTGGGGGTAATAATACCGTGGCTCAAGTATATTACAAGTTCCCGATATCGGAGGTTCCTTATAGAACTGACAAGCATGATAATGCTAATGGATGTACTATGTATGATGAATCATGAACTCTGATTTTTGTATGTAGTTTGAACAAGAATATGAATATAAATCTGTTTCTGATATGAACTCTGATTTCTGAATCTGTTATGGACATCATTCATTTAAACCCTTTACTCTGTTATTATTTACTAGGCTTCCACTCACTATTTATATTATGTATGTAGGTGAGCAGGCGCGTGACCAGGCCTAAGTTGCTACCTGGAGTGTTTTTGGGTTAGTCAACCACTGTGCCTTCCAGGGAGGTTCCTTTTTGAGAAGTCAAGTTTTGTGAACCGTTGAAGATGTTTTGTTGTTTGTTTTTGCTTATTT